GATCAGGCTGGGCATCCTGGGCAGCCACCTCTGTGCCATGGGGGGTCACCAGCAGCAGCGAGCAAAGGAGGAAACCTGCTGAGCCCCTCATCGTCTGTTCCTGATGGGGACAATGGCTTAGTTAGCTTTAAAGATTAATAGGAAAAAAAAAAAAGTGAAGAAAAACCCCACCCTTGAATAACGGAGAGGCCCAGGAGACTAAATTTTGACTCATCATGTCTGAAGGAAAGCTAATTCTGCTCACCCCAAGGGCCCTCTGCATCCCGCATGGTGCTAGCGTGAGCTCCGTGAGCCAAGCTGGAATGGGCATCCTGGGAGCACATCCAGCGCGGAGAGGAGCCAACGCTGGAGTTGCTGCCCCAGCGCTCGCGGGCTCCTTGCACGGGCACAGACGTCGCTGTGGACTGAGCGCAACAGATGCCAGGGCATCCGTGGCCAGTTTCTTTGCAAAGCTCTGCTCAATTAGCCACAACATGCTCCAACTTCTGCCTGGCTGAGTGAGCAGCTGATTGGAAGTACGGGTCTGGCAGAGCCTGGCTCAAAACCTCAAAAGCCTTTAAACCAGCAGCTCAGTTTATGGCTGAGCGTCCAGCCTGCTACCAGGGTCTGCCTAGCGCCAGCAGCAACCACCCCCGGGATTTCCATCTCCTCTCAGCGACCGTATGAAATTATGGTACTGTTTTTCTCCACTCGAATTATGGTTTTGGATTACGGGAAGACAAGTTGCACAGCGTTCAGGCACTGCAGGGTCATATTCTTCTTTAATCTAGTTGCTTTGCTAGTCAGAGCTCTTAGTGCAGCTCCCCAGAACCAGGTCGGTGGTGACACCCTATGGCCAGCTTGGGGCTTTGTTCCGATGCTCCCAGAAATCGGTGGGACCTCGGTGGGCTTTGGGTCAGGCTTTTAGGAAACAGATATATTAAAATGATTGTTGTTGTGTGATGCTGCTCCCTGGGCAGAGATTATTCCCTGGAACAATAAGGGGTACAATCCTGTTACAAGGATTCTAAGTGGCATAATAGGCAACAAGTAGTGAGTAACAGCATGGCCATTAAAGTCCCTCAGCTCTGTAATTCCCAAGAAACATAGTATTTCAGAGCAATTCCTTTGCAGGGTTGTTTTTCCTAGACAAGCTATTTAAATGTCATATTTTAAATAGTATCTTATTAGCTCTAGTGTAATTACTTCAAAGGAAGCTAAATAACAAAGAGGTGACCATGATTTCAGTTTTTGCAGGCTCTTGTAGGAGGCTTCAAAGAAAACTTCCAAGCTTTGCTTAATGACTTTGGAGGGCAGTAACTAACCTGTAAAATCAGGGAACCCCTAAGACCGTGCCCGCCCTGCCAGGCTCTGGTGATCCAGCAGCCATGTGGTGCCCTGTGCTGGGGCTGGGGCCCTGGCTCAGAGGCAGTTTTGGGGCTGAGGGTGCCACGGCCACAGGGTCCAGCGACCACAGCCTGAACCTTAGGCAGAGTTCCTGCGTCCCTGTGCTTTGGGAAGTGAAATGCAACAAGGAATGTAGCCATCGGCCACAAACCAGGGTGGACAAGAGAAACAGATGTCTATAAATCCCCAAAGCAGCTCGGTTTGGCAAGTGAGGGTGTGTGTGTTTGGGCACGCTGTGATGTGGCCGCTTTGCTGTGCCTCAGCGGAGGGCACTAAGCAGAGAGGCTCCCGTCTCCTTGCCAGGGACCCCTGTCCCCCTGCCTGGGTGTCCTCCAGCTCAGCTACATGCATGCACCCCTCCGAAATCAGCACAGGCTGTCTGGAGATATCTAACTGCATGAAAACACGCTGGTGTTTGCTGAGAATCTGCCTCAAAATTGTGTTTCTTGAGCTGTGTTTTGGTGATGTAGTTGGGGTTAGTTCTGCTTTCTTATACTCTGCCTAGAACTCAAAATTTTAGCAATGTGTGCCCCAGAGCTGAGTCTTCTGCTGGTGCAAAATAAACCCCTCCTTTAAGGCTGAAAGTGGTGGAAACTGGAGTCAGCCCAAGGCAGGGCTGCAGGCAGCTTTCCTGGCAGTTGCCTGCCTAGCTTGCTCTGAAGGGCTCGAAGCGATGCCCGTCTCGCAGTATCCCTGGGCAGCTCTTCACTGCGGATACGCTACTCAATCTTGTTTTCTCCTTTCTCATAAGAAAAGTGTTGTGATATGCAAATAGAAAACTACTTCTGTTGCTACAGTTTGACTCCATCGCAAATGGTTTGCTTGTTTGAGAAACAAAGCCATTCTCTGGCATAAGTATGTCTTAACAAAGGGAAAGTTTTAAGCTACGGTTGCTAGGTCTGAGTTTAAGCTCTAGTTTAGGCATGATGTCCCTTTACTATATCTTTCCTATTTCTTTTTCTCTTCTCATCTGATGCTCAGCAGCGAAACATGAAATAATCTGCTGCGTTTTAATGTCAGTTGTACCTTTCAGACCAGTAATAGATGAACTAAGTACTCTTGGCTCCAGTTAATGCAGTAGCTGCCAAGCTCACATGCATTACGAGAAGCCTATTCGTTTATCAGCAGAAATCAGCATATCATCCATAAGAACGATGCCATTCGTAAGTGCTACATAGTGATTCAGACCACGATTCGGAATGTAAATTTTACGTAACACTATATAAATATTCTGTATTTATATAGAGATAAATAATGAAAGAGCTCTCTGCACAAAACACATAAAAGTCCCATCTGTTTTCCAGCTCCAGTATTTTCTTCAAAGGATATTAACCAGAGGTTCAGCTTATGTTGATCTTTTTTCCTTTTTGTAATTGCTTGTAGCATGGTTTTTGCTGAAGTTCCAGTGGTGACTTGCTCCAAGCGGCTCGCACCTTAATTCTGGGCGGTGCAGGTTTCTGGCAAGGAGCTAGTCCAACTCAGGGAGATTTGGGGCAAATCCAATTCTGCCCAAGAGTCTCTGAGGAAAGAGGCGAATCAAAAGGTGCCAGTGCAGGACTCACTGTTACAGCCATGTGGTTTTTCACTGTCGTTACTGACTGCTTTTGATTTAGGAGTTTTGATCTCTAAATAGTGTTTCCAAAAACAGGAGTATGAATCTAAGGGAGATTGGCTATTCTTGGTTTAAAATAGTCGCTGGCTATTCTGAGAATAACGCTAAGAAAGGAAACTTGTTGCGGACAGAAGAGTCTGTCTGACTCAGCCTAAAAGAAGAGAAAATCCTGAACTTAGTGAAAAGGAAAAGAAAAGTCATGCTTACCAGCTGTTTTGAGTCCTAGTTGACTTGCTGCAGTCTCTTTAGAAATGAAGTCCGGCTACCACATCACTGTCCCCAAGGGCCCAGGGAGCTGTCAGCTCAGACACTGCGTTTTCCATTTGCTACTGCCCATGCTGACGTAAAAGTTGGGTTTTCCCATTAATTTTTCCTGGCCATCACTTAAGCTTTGCACCACTTATATAAGCTGGCCACACCGGGATAGCTTGCGAAGATAGCCTTAATGGGGAAAAGATGGGTTTGGGAATTCGATAGGAACTGAAGGAGCTATGGTTTGCCAGAGGAGCCCGTGAGCAAGCCTGCTCGGCCAGGGCTGGGCTTGCACAGCTCAAGCTGCTGCTCTCTGTAAGCCAGGCAGTGTTGTTAGCAGCTGGTGGAGAAAGTGTGTCCACAGCCTTGTGTTAACGCACTCAAATGGGTTTTTTTCAATGTGTTAGTAAATGAATTATTGTGTGAGAATTTTTGGCTTCTCCTTTTAACGGCAAGAGCTGTTCCTGCCGCACCGAAGAAGGGCAAAGCTGCCCGAGGAGAAGGGCAGTGCTGGGGGAAGAGCTTCGTGTTAAGCCAGCCAAGCACATGCCAGTGCTGTTGTAAATCATCAGAGTAATTTCAGCCCTACGGATGGATTTCAACCTCTCACATGTTTTGGCTTTAGGTCAAGATAAAGTGTTTTTTCCCCCCATGTCTCTCTCCTTCCAAAGCGGAGGTTGAGCCTTGGAGAGTGGAGGCTTTCTTCCCTGGCTGCTCCGGGGCAGTTCAAGGTCAGCTAGGCGGGACCTTGGCAAACCTGGGCTTGTAAAATCAGACCTGGAAAAAATAGCGTGACGTGCAGCGTTGCAACTGGGCATGGGGAACCAACGTCGGGGAGAGGAGGTCCTTGGGAGAGAGGAAACTCACCCATGGGAATGTCAGCAGGACAGTATCCTGAGTTACTGAATAAAGACCTGTCTGTCTGGGAGAACGAAAAGGATGTATAAATGAGCACATAAATAATTTCTTATATGTGGAGCTGGGAGTCAGCAGGGGTGAATTTTGAAGTCCTGAGGAGAAGGGTGCAGAAGGGAGGAGCCACAGGTCAAGTGCTCGCTGCCTGCCTTATTTTGGTCAAGCCCTTAGTCCAGCATTTGAAGAATTTGATTTTTTTTTATTATGTTTTTTCCATGCAATGTTGAGACTTAAAACAATTCCTCATGCAACCCCAGTAAAATATGACAGAGATCTAGTTGGATCTGTTGTTTTCTTACCAACGTGATTTGCTAGAGCCACGTGTGTGTGCGCGCGTGTGCACGATGCCGATGTTTCTGTTGAAGTCTCCTTTCCTGAGCAATGAATGGAGGAGCAGGATGTTGGAACTGAAATAGGAACTTTTTTTACAGTGGAGACAAGAGGTTTTCGGCTGCCTCGGCCTGGAGCATGAGCAAGCCAAGGCTGTTTTCCCTGCCAGCTCTTGGCTTGAACCCCAAAGTGCATGACTGGGGTATTTATTGGGCTACCAGGATTTGAAAATGGGACCTGACGTGTTTAATAGGTAGTGCTGCAATTACCTCATGGCCTTTCAATTTAATTGTTAGGAAAATAACACAGTGATAAATCTTTCAGTGGTCCATCAAACAGCCTCCTAAATGTTAGTTATCTCTGCCTGCTAGAATAGGAGTGGAAGTTTATCTCTGGGGTTCAACCAGCTGATACAACCCCCAAGGCACTCGCTTGCAGTTATGTTGTCTTGCACACTCGGTTTGCAGGTTGGTGCTGGCTCCTGTTCCACTGCAGAGGGAGATATTGTACAATCCAGGGAGCTACTCCTGGCTGTGCGATAGGAAAATGTTGAAAATGCCCTTTGTTTTGCCTGGAGACAAGCAAAACCTGCCACC